CAGCAGGAACATTTATAAACTTTATTATATCAGTTGCTTGTTTGTTTTTTAGGTAAAATCTGTAAAAACCGGGTCAGTTTTTTGGACGATGTGCTGCTGCTTGTCATATTTCTATATGGTAAGATTTCATGTTTGAAACTACATGAGGGCACACAAGTCTTTGGTAGCTGGATCAGTGCCTCCTCTTCCTCATTCCCTTCTCAGCCAGGGCTACTTCCCCACTTCGTTTCTCCTGCAGTCTTTAAGATCTTTTGTTTAATGTATTCTCTTTCCTTACTACCACTCTCTTCCCTACTCCCACCTTCAGGGCCTGGTATGGACCTTTACTTTAGTGGGGAGGGTTAATACTCAACCCCTCAAATGTAATACTTGCAGCAAGTGAAACAAAAACTTTTCTTTCGAATGTACAACTTTTTCTAAATAATGATCACATTCTCTAGGTTAACCTGTAAACTACTTAACATAATTTTTTTCAACAGATTACTTAAGATTGGGGTTCAGTATTACCTCTTTAATCTCCTGCCTTTCTTTCCCACACCACAGCCTATATAGTAGTCTTATGCTGAAAATTAATGATAATCTTAAGTAACTTTTTTTGTTTCTTAAACAAATGTCATGGAATTTGTGCTTCCATATTATCCTTGCCCCTTTTAAAGTGGTTAAAGGTTAGGGCACATTCTGTGCAGTTGTACTCAATAATAGCAAACCCATTCTCTTTCAAGTTTAGACTAAAATTTTAGAAATAACCAGAAGTCCTTCAGTTAGAACTGGAACTCAACCAAAGTAATGTTGTCTTTGGTGAAAAATAGCATATGACTGAAGCAGTAAACTGGTGTTCTTATATGAATTGTAAACTGAAGGCCGTTTCTTATAAATTGTTCTTCTACGTTTTAGACAAGGGCAGCATTGTTAGAACATGTATGTTAACATATAGTCTCCTAAGGTGACTGTTGGTACAAATGGTTCTTTTAAGCTTTTAATTATTAGAGAACATGCAAGAACTTTGATCTTGACAGACCTTATTGCCTATTACTGAATGTACTTAATAAATTCTGTTGGTTTGGAATAAACATTTTCTTTAGAACCTTTATTGATTTAGACCAGAACATAACATGGTTGTCTGGTAAATAGAATTATTCTAATTTTGTGCTACAGGCTAAACATTAAACTGGGATCTTGATTTGTGTCCATTGGTAGGAAGAAATTTATACCCAAGGTAGCACCTTTTGTCTTGAGGATCACAAAGCACATCCAGATCATCTGAGTATTCCTTTTAGTAGTTGACTAATGCTAACATCCATTGTTCTTATTCTTAGTGAAGTTTCTTGCAATGTATTTATCATCAAAAATGGAGGGAGTAAAAGGGTTTTTTTTCTTTAAAAAATTGATGATCTATATTATAAAAGTCTATCTCCATGACAGTCTTTTTATTGCCAATTCACAAATTATATTGTTCTCAGTGTTCTTATAAGTTTAATTTAATTTGACCATTTCTCCAGTGAATATAAAAGTGTATTGGATTTATGGTATTCTGTTGTTTTACTTATCAATAAAAATAAAGAAAAATAGGTCATTTGTAGGTTACAAATCCATTTTTAAGCATTTCCAAATTGCTAAAAATCCTAGTGTTTATATTTGCTTATTATATGTTTAGATTGTCATGACATGTCATCACAAAACTTATCTATTTTAAAAAGCAAATATATAAATTATTTAACTTAGCATTTCTTTACTCATAGGTCTCTGCTTGGGGTGGTTATGTGTTTATTATCAACCTTATTCCACTGCATGTTTTTGTGTTGTTACTAATGCAGAGATACAGCAAAAGAGTCTACATAGGTAAGTGATTTGACTTCTGATAGCTGTCAACTTCTAAGAGGTGTTTCATATACGTTCTTTTCATTGAACAGACATTTCTGTTAGGTTAGTATTATTCATGAGGAGGTAAAAATAATTTTAGAGTTATTTTGCTTTTTGTATTAATAAGGAGGGTCAGGCATTTTTACTAAGTGTGTTATTATCAACTTTCCCTTAATGAGTTTTTGTCGAAATTAGTCTAGATTTAATATTTGTCAACCTTTTTTTTTAATTCGGGGGAATGGGCATTTCTATCATTCACATATACATATTATTCAAATTCAGCTTACTGTAAGAGATTAAGGATCCTTAACAGTTTAATAAACTTTTGAAAGCTCTTTCTGTATAATATACAACAGGCTGTCTTAGTCCATTCGAGCTGCTATAACAAAATACCAGAGACTGAGTAGTTTATAAACAATAGAAATTTATTTCTCAGTTTTGGAGGCTAAAAAATCCAAAATCAAGGCACCAGAATGTTCACATTCTTGTAAGGGCTGTTTTCCTGTTCCACAGCTGGTACCTTCTTTGTCCCCACCTGGTAGAAGGAATGAGCAAGCTCTCTGGGGCCTCTTTTAAAAGGGTACTGCTCCCTTGGAGCCCTCATTACCTAATCACCTCCCAAAGGCTACCTCCTAATACCATTTCCTTGGGCATTAGGTTTTCAACATTGAATTCTGGGGAGAAACAAACATTCGGACCATAGTAGAGACTGAGTATTTTCTCTACACGATTTTAATTTGCTCTACAGGTTTTAAAACATATCTTTTGAATAAGATGCTTAGTAATAGATGATGTCTCAAATCTTAGAGCTCATTTTCTATGAGAGAGACAGAACTTTTATGGGTTGAATTAATCACAGAGAAGTTATGATCTGAAACCAGTGTCTTAGTAAAATAATTCCATTATTATAATGTTGGAAAACAATAACAAAAAGATATAAATCTTATTTACTTGATTAAAAAACATAGTAGTTTGGCAATTTCTCAAAAATTTAATCATAGGGGCTTCCCTGGTGGCGCAGTGGTTGAGAGTCTGCCTGCCGATGCAGGGGATGTGGGTTCGCACCCCGGTCCGGGAAGATCCCACGTGCCACGGAGCGGCTGGGCCCATGAGCCACGGCCACTGAGCCTGCTCATCCAGAGCCTGTGCTCCGCAACAGGAGAGGCCACAACAGTGAGAGGCCCGCGTACTGCAAAAAAAAAAAAAAAAAAATTTAATCATAGAGTTACCATGTGACCCACAATTCCACTCCTAGGTATATACCTAAGAGAATTGAAAATACATATTTACTTTGTAACTGCTTAGGATGTGTCTATATGAACTGTGTACTATATGCTTCTGTTATAGTCCTTACAATTTTTTATCATCTTATTTTCTGTAACAATTTTCCACGGATTCTTTGGGCTTAAGGTATATTAAAAGGGAGACTGATTCTGGGGCTTCCCTGGTGACCCAGTGGTTAAGAATTCGCCTGCCGGAGCAGGGGACATGGGTTCAATGCCACGTGCCATGGAGCAACTAAGCCAGTGGGCCACAACTAAAAAAAAGAAAAAGAAAAAATATATATTTACACGAAAACTTGTACTGTAACATTTATAGCAGCATTGATTATTCATGATAGCCAAAAAGTGAAGACAAACCAATGTCCATCAACTGATGAATGGATAAAGTGTGGTATATCCATGCAATGGGATATTATTTGGCAATGAAAAGGAATAAAGTACTGATAACATGCTACATCATGAGCCTTGAAAACATTGTGCTAAGTAAAATAAGCCAGACACAAAAGACCATATACTGTAGGATTCTTTTTGTATGAAGTATCCAGTGCAGGCAAATCCATAAAGACAGCAAGCAGATTAGAGACAGGAAGTTGATTTAGTGGTTGCCAGGGGTCTGGGTAGTAGAGGAGTGACTGCTAATGGGTATTGGGGTTTCTTTTGGGGGTGAGGAAATGTTCTGGAATTAGACAGTGGTGATAGTTACACAGCTTTGTGAGTATAATAAAAACCACTCAATGGTACATTTTAAAAGGATAGGGGTTTTTTTTGTTAGTACAAATTATATCAATTTTAAAAAGTTAGAGTATATTAATTATATGTATAGCCATTTCAGCATACTTCATAATAATCACCACTGAAATAAATAGTACATCTGTATGTGTCAAGTTATTCTTATATAAGCACAAACTGTCCTAAATCCTTCACATGTATTTAACTTATTTAGTCTTCATAACCACACTGTGAGGATAGGTACTATTACTATCCTCATTTTACAGATGAGGAAACAAGAGAAGACATAATTTGCTCAAAATCATGTAGCTAGTAATGGAGCTGAAGACTGAACTTAGATATTTTGGCTCCATAGCTCGTAATGCAAAAAAATCACTGTAACTGTGTGCCTGCCATGTAAATAAATACCTTACTGGGGAAATATATCAACCTATCATAAATCTCTTTACCCTGAAAACACTGTAAACAAGCATTGGAATCCAGAAAAGAAGATGACAGATTAAATAATAACTCTTGGCTTTTTGTTTTGGGACTATACAAGGAAAAACATTTTAAGTTAAATGCTTATGGGGAAGAACTAAGAGTTTCTTTGTTTAATTTCAAAAATAGGGGTCCTGATAATGTAATGATCAGGAGAACAGAGTTAGGGAGAAGATTGAGGGATAGACTTTTGTGAAATGCCCCTGAATCAGGAAGAGGAAGAACTAAAGGAAGAGTTAGAAGTAGCCAGATAAATACATTGTTAAGGAGGTCAAATGGGAGTATTTTCTACATAAAAGTTTAAAGCATGAACAGTGACCAAGTCCTCTTAAGTGTTAGCACTAAGATCAAGTAGGATGAGAGTTGAGAAAAGACCTTGTATTTGATGAATAGGATTTCTCTGGTCACTTTAGAAAAGCATACAGTTAACACTGCTTTGGTTGGCTCTTGAGAATATAAGAATATTAGAAGAGCTTTTCAGAGGGAAGAAAAATAAAATGGGTTAGGGATGTTATGGATGTGTATGAAGTTAGATTAGCAAACTCTTAGATAATTTCATGCTGTTCAAATTCTCCACCCCGCCCTCTTTGTTTCTATTTAGCTCTAGAAGTTACCAAGGAACATCATCGTATTTTCAAATTATATTTGTTTGGTTTTTTCTGCTGTACTATCCTTGATTTCATTTTAGGTATCAGTACAAAGTATATTTGCTATTTTTAAAAGTTGTGATTGTCTCTCCACTCAGGTGTTTTGAACAAGTCACTTCTTGCTGCTTTTACAAATAGAGCTTATAAAATAATAGTTTACAAGACTCATTCTCTACATAGTTTGCAATGAACAGCATCCTGGAAAAATTATTTTTCTCATTATGTATATCTGTTAAGTTAGTCACTGGATTTCTCTCTGCTGGTCGAGAAGAATCCGTGGAGGGTTTTTTTTATTTTTAGTTTTGGGGGGCGCGTGGGGGGGATCTTGTGAGCTTTAATTTCATATAAGTTTCTTAGCATTTTTCACCCTGCTTATTTACCAGCATTCACAGTAGTCAAGTAATCAAGCCGTAATAAAGTATCTTTATTAGTCAAAAGCTTCCAACAGTCTTACAAGCCTTTAATCATATTTGTTAATAATAAAGCAAAATTGGTTGAATTTTAAAGTACTTCCTCACTATGTTTCTTTTGGTTAGCACTGTTTTGGTTGAGAGAGACAGGGGATGGCAAAGGAATATTTTGCTAGCCCTTTCATTATCACCCAGGAGATAAAGCAACTCAGAAATGGTAAGGTGATTTAATGGTGGATCAAAGTTAACAGGAATATAATATTCACAAAACTTTTTCTAACTTTATTTAAGTAAAAGGAAGTATAGCAGTACTTTAAAAGCATGAAGGGTACTGTCAAGGTAAGTTAAGAAGGTACTTAAAGGTTAGTTTGGGGAACAGCAGGAGCTTCTTGAAAACTTGACATTCTTTTGGAACTCGAATCAGGCCTTTCAGTGCCTTTTATTTTATAGAACAATTCATTTGTACACCTTAAGTCAAGGACAGTGGTTTGTTTCTTCTCTGTATCAGTCTGGTCCCACCCCATACCCTTGGATTAAAAAAAAATAAAGTACTTAAAAAAATTTTTTTTTAATTTTTAAAATTTTTAGTTGCGTTGGGTCTTTGTTGCTGTGCACAGGCTTTCTGTAGTTGCGTCGAGCGGGCTACTCTTCATTGCGGTGTGTGGGTTTCTCATTGCAGTGGCTTCTCTTGCTGTGGAGCATGGGCTCTAGGTGTGCTGTCTTCAGTAGTTGTGGCTGGCAGGCTCTAGAGCAGAGGCTCAGTAGTTGTGGCACACGGGCTTAGTTGCTCCGCAGCATGTGGGATCTTCCCAGGCCAGGGCTCGAACCCATGCCCCTTGCATTGGCAGGCGGATTCTTAACCTCTGCGCCACCAGGGAAGTCCCCCCAAAAATAAAGTACTTGAAGAGTGAAAAGATGTTTAGGTTCTGTTTCAGAAGATTACTATTTGTCCCAAACCCAAGAGATTTTCTTTGGTTAAAAATAACCAAACAGAATAACAGACCTTGTATATATCTTCCTAATGGTAATTTGGGGGGAATTCTGACACATTGGAAGTATGGTCTGCAGTAGTGAAGGCCAGTAACTGTACTTCCACAGGATGGCAGTATGATAAACATTGTCATGATGTAATAAATTATTTACTACATTATTGGTCTTGTGCGTTTTCTTAGAGCTTACTACTTTGATGGAAAGCTTTATTCGTCTGCTTTAAAGGGTAAGAAAAGTAGGTTAAGATGGATGGATAGAAGGTTGTGATAGATGTAGATAGTAGTTTGGTCAAATTTCATAGAGTCTGGAGGAAGAATTCGTGGAGAATGATTGCCATGTGTTTGTGTTGTTGAGGTCTTTTGAGAACATTAGAGAATGGTACGGGTGTTGTCAACTGCCTCTTCAATGCCCATGTCAAGAAGAGGAGCTCTCTCTAAATTTTTATAGAGCCAGGGGTTTTTCCACTAATGTCACATGTACTTGCTTCATTGTATTGTGGTTATTTGTGTACATCTCTGATTTTCCTAATTACATATCTAACTCTTAGAGGATAGGTTTGATCTTAATAAGATTTTGTATTTTTAGAAAGTCTTGACCATGATAGACATAAACTTAATATTTGAATGAATTAATTAAAGAGATAATTTTTCAACACACTGATGCTGTGGTATAGACGGGAGAAAAACTTGTTTTCATTTTGCAGTGGAGATTGTGTTTATTTTTAAGAATTGAAAGTTACTTCACTATTTCTTAATACTCAAGTATATCTTATTTTCTTTGTTTTAAAACATGGGTTTGTAAATAGGATTTAAACTGAGGTATGGAGATGTATATCTAATTTTACAGGTTCAAGAAGAAGGGCAGTATTAAAAAAAGCAAGATGAGCTTGTGACATTTTATATTACTTGGCAGGCAGTCCTGAATTTAATAGTGTTAAAAAAACAAAATTCAACTGAGTAAATTTTAAGTATTTAATTGGCTTTATGAATGATTCATAAGTTGAGTGGCATCACATCTAGCCAAGTAGAAAGGAGCTCCAAAGAGCCTCAGAAAGGGAAAGATTTTTATAGGCAAGACAAGGAAATTCACAAACAGAAATGCCTTTCAGGCTTAGGTAACCTACCTTTTGGGGAGGGAAGGGTCTATGTGTCAGATTACCTCATCTTTCTTTGGTGAGGGGGGTCTAGAAAGAATTACCTCTTTGGTGCTGACCAGGAAATTCCACATTGACCAGCTAGGATTGCATTCCTGGGGAAAGTTGTGACTGCAATTAAGGTTATGAATTAAGTTTTGATTTTAGCCCAGGTGACTCCATTTGGGGCCTGTCATTTCTTTAACAATGGAAATATTGGTGTGTTAAAGAGTGCTGTGAAGTAGAACATATATCCCCCTATGTAAAATCTCAGTATCAGTGATCCAAAATGGTTATCTTTGGATTATTGCATATAGCACATTTATCAGCATGTATTGGTGCATGTAAGTAGGTATAAATGAGGTTAAAAGTAGGTTAAAAGTAGGTTAAATGAGGTTAATTTGGATAGAGGAATATTTATAGGTAAAATATTGTTGAGAACTTGTCTGTTTCTGTTAGTTCAGATTTATTTGACATTAACCTATATTTACAAAGTAATGTTTACAAATTAAAGTCCCACCTGGCATTTTTTATGTTTGCCGAGATTGAATTTCTGTTTCTTGAACTCATCTCCATCTTTTTATTAACTTGAACTCTAGTGCACCTACTTCTTTTTTTAAAATTTTATTTATTTATTTATTTATGGCTGCGTTGAGTCTTTGTTGCTGTGCGCGGGCTTTCTTTAGTTGCGGCGAGCGGGGGCTACTCTTCGTTGCAGTGTGCGGGCTTCTCATTGAGGTGGCTTCTCTTGTTACGGATCATGGGCTCTAGGCGTGTGGGCTTCGGTAGTTGTGGCTCACGGACTCTAGAGCACAGGCTCAGTAGTTGGGGCGCACGTACTTAGTTGCTCCGCGGCATGTGGGATCTTCCTGGACCAGGGCTCGAACCAGTGTCCCCTGCACTGGCAGGTGGATTCTTAACCACTGTGCCACCAGGGAAGCCCTAGCGCACCTACTTTTTTATAAAATGTTTTCTTCTTCACTAATGACAATAAATGCCTCTGTGAAGTTGCATAAAACTGCTGAAATGAGAATATTACCCAGTTTAGTCTTCTCTTTTGGATATGCCTGGAAATGAGCTTGAGCACATCCCTGAGAAGAAACTTCATTGATAGTTTCCAGGCAAGTGATTGCTGAAATTTTTACATTACCAACCACAGTGTAGTCCCATTTGAAGAGACGGTATGATGTGTGTACACATCATGTATATGTGTGCTGACCATGCCTTCTAGTGATTATTTCTGGAAAATGTGACTTAAAGGGAAGTAAATGGGCTAGAGACTTTCACTTTTTACTGTGTTTTCTTTTTTCTAAACAATACATTACCTTTACAATTAAGAACAAACCAAACAAACAAAAAAGAACAAACCAGTAATCCATGGAAACAGATGCAGATTTGTGTTTGCCTTGCTCTGGGATAGAGGGGATGGGGTGAGTATGAGGGTTTTTTTGGGGATGATGAAAATGTTTGGGGACTAGAGAGGTTTGGTGGTAGCACAACATTGAGAATATACTAAATGCCCCTGAATTGTTTGCTTCAAAATGATTATATGTGAATTTGACCTCAATTTTTTTTTAAAACTTTACTTTTTTGTTCAGTGTGTGCCATTTGTCATATCTAATCCAAATTCTGTGGCAGTGTTATATAATATTCAGTGTTCATTTGTGTTTATAAGAAAGAGAAATCCAGCTTCAGAGGTGATTGTAGTGTTTGGATGTAAGTAGACTTAACTGTAATTAATACACATAAATGACATAAGGTTTTCTCAGGCTTGGCCTTTCTAATTGTGCCTTTTTTTTTTTTTTTTTTAATTTTTGGCTGCGTTGGGTCTTCATTGCTGCGCGCGAGCTTTCTCTAATTGCGGTGAGCGGGGTCTACTCTTTGTTGTGGTGCACAGGCTTCTGATTGTGGTGGCTTCTCTTGTCGTGGAGCACGGGCTCTAGGCGCGCAGGCTCAGTAGTTGTGGCACACGGGCTCAGTAGTTGTGGCTCGCTGGCTCTAGAGCACAGGTTCAGTAGTTGTAGCTGATGGCCTTAGTTGATCCACGGCATGTGGGATCTTCCCAGACCAGGACTTGGACCCGTATCCCCTGCATTGGCAGGCAGATTCTTAACCACTGTGCCACCAGGGAAGCCCCTCTAATTGTGCCTTTGTGTGTTCAATATTTCTCCAGGGTTTAATTTCTCAGCTCTAGGTGTCTAAAAGACCTGTTGATCATAGAATCTTAGCTTATTATTATTGGGGCGGAGGAGGGGAGGGATCTACAGATCTTGTCTAAACTCCTCATTCTGTTGCGAGGAAACAAACTTTTGTTTTTAAGTAGTTCAAGGTCACACAATGACCTTTTTCCCATTTTTTTTGTAATTTTGCCTCTGTGACTCTTCATCTGGGTGTCTACACAGACTGATTTGTTAAAGAAACGTACTGTTATTCGATAACCCATCAACCAAATTGGTTGGCAGTTCGAATATATGTGACATAGAAATTCTTATTTATATTTACTTAACTTTTATTGCATTTGTGTTCAACTGTCTTATTGAGGGTAATTGTACTCCAACACTAATATGTCTGGAAAGTACATTGTTGGATGTGTTACTTCTGCAGCGCCCTCTAGACAACTGGTTCTCTGTTAGCTTGAGGTCATCAGAAACTTTATACATTGGTCCTTCCTATTACATTTACTTAAGCTTCTTATCCTTTTTCTAACACTGTAGTCATCTCTCCAGACAGCTTGGAAGGCAACTTAACATTTGAACCATTAACACATAATTTACCTTCTATAAATGGGTTTCTTTTAAAAGCAAATAAGCATTCTTTCTCAGCTGAGTTGAGTGAAGAGAAGCATGTGCTGTGCTGTACAATGTGTAGCATACAGATACGCCTGCTATAACAGTTCTCTTGCAGTTTTTTTTTCTAATAGAGTATTTTATTTGCCAACAACTAAATATTGACTGTACTTCATAAAGTATGTGAGTAAGCTTTATAAATGGAATAATCTTCACATTAGCTTATTTTATATGAGTTTTAACTTCATTTCTAAATAATTTTTAATTACAGTGATTCCAAATACTTTCACTGTAATCAGCTTGTCTGGTAGTGATCTGTGAACACCTAAATGCAAAAATAAGTCTGTTATACAAATTGTAGCCCCTCCCCAATTTACCTATACACTTAGGTTGATATAAGCCGAGAATACTATATAGTATATTCAGTGCCAAGAGCAAATAAGTTTCCTTTATTAGATCCTAATAAATTCAGTAACTAGTCTGTTTTATGGCTTGACTTCTGTGTACTTAGTTCTTTTCTTTAATCACATAAAACTTAACGGATAGACATAAAAATTTTTTTTTTAACTGGTTAAGTACTGTACAAAAGTGTTAGGAGACTATAAATAGGGTGTGAATACTTAAAAGCTTTTGAGACAATAGCAGCTATTCATAATATGATGATGATAAGTATTCATTTGGTCATACATACTTTATTTATGGGTTAATGCCAATAGGAATGGTGTTTACTTATGTATTACATAGCTTCTTGGGTTATGTCATTGATTTTTAATGATAGATTGAAAAAAAACTTGATTCCATTTTCAGGAGAGTAAAACAGCACCAGTCTCCTTAAAATAATATTTTTTAAAATGGCAGAAAGAATTTCACGATTTATAATGTATGATTAACCATCAAATATATATCAAATAGAATAGTCACTTCAGTGTTCTATTCTTAAAATAAGTTCAGTTAAAACTTTGCTAAAAATATATGAGTTGTGTATATATTTATGTTTGAAGTACTTATTGGTAGTAGTAAATTATCCTTTCCTATTTTGTCTTTATAGCATATAGCACTTTCTATATTGTGGGCTTAATATTATCCATGCAGATACCCTTTGTGGGATTCCAGCCAATCAGAACAAGTGAACACATGGCAGCTGCAGGTATGAAAAATATTTATTTTCTTTCTTCTAAGAAATCTGTGAAGGTATGACTGGCCGATCTTCAGTGGGATGAAGGGTTCTTTTGGGGTTTTGTAGTTGTTTTTAATTTTCATCGTATTGGTTCTAAAAACATCACCACTATAAAATATGAATATCATAGAGTTTATGGAGACTTTCTGATATTGTACGCCTAAAAGTGCTTATCTTGCCAGCTGTGACTGTTTTGAAAAAGCAAAACATCCTTTTTTGCAAACACTAAATAACATTTGCTTTGTATAAATTAGTGTATCTGTACACTGAGTTACTGAATCACTGAGTTTTCATTTTACCAAATTTAGATGGAACATTTCATTTTTATGTTCCGTACATCTCACTAAAATATTTTATCCATATCTACTAACTGGAATTAATGGCTTTCATATTGATTATAAGGTCATATAATTTCTCTCCCTAAAGCAGAGCATTTTGCCATCATTAATCTCGGTCACAAATAACAAGATACAGTGGGAGATCTGTGAATAAAACTTTATCAGAGATTCTCCACACAAGGTGCATGATCCATAGGAAGTCTGTGGGTAGTTATTTTGTTTGTAGCATTTTATAAATATCAGTATATTTAACTTCTGAGATGATGTTCCATAGCTTTTATCATCAGATTCTCAGTAAGAATCTTGAACCATCTCCATCCCCCACCCAACTATAAACAGTAACCATATATCAGGATTCTTCTGATCCAGGTCAGTTGTATCCTTCAGTAAATCTGAGAATTATTTTTTTAATGATGTTTCTTTGTTTTTTAAATTTTTTTCCCTAGAAAACATGTTGCTAAAATATGGGACAAAGGGTGGAATTTAATGTGCTGAATAGGCTTCAGTTACTGAAATGAGATTTTTCTTGCCTGGTCCGTGTATGGGGAGTCTGATCATTTTGAAAAAAAATACGTAACAGAATTTTTTGGATGTATTAATTGGTTAACTGTCATTTGACAAAGGAAATATCAGATCAAATGACTAGTCTCTGATATATGAATGGTACAAGGTATTCTAAGAAGGTCTTCCAAATTAACGTTTGTAAATGTCCTTGGTAAAAATGCTTTGTTGATTACTTATATGAACCTTTTCTTTAATTAGGTGTCTTTGCATTGCTGCAAGCTTATGCTTTCTTGCAGTATCTGAGAGACCGATTAACAAAACAAGAGTTCCAGACCCTGTTCTTTTTGGGTGTATCACTAGCTGCAGGTGCTGTGTTCCTTAGTGTCATCTATTTGACTTATACAGGTAGGTGTCATAACCTGTAAGATATGAATCTTGTCTCTAGGTTATTGCAAAAAGTAATTCTTTTTCAAATTTTGTACATGTTGCATTTATCCTAGTAGGTCAAATATTGTGGTTTCTTTACAAACTGTATGAAAATAATAGTCAAAGATTCTAAAATGTGAATAGAAGTACAAATTTTGATTTTTTTTTTAACAGTATCTTAATTTTGCTGCTTCAGGTTCTGATAAATCCACTTTCAAACATCCTTCTCTTGATGGATGAATAGGCCCAAAATGTATAAAATTCAAAGCTTCCAGTATTAACAGTGCAGGTTTACCCTCCCTTGTGTACATATACTCTATCTCCTGATTTTAAACAGTCAACCAGATCAGTTTCAGTCTGCTTCTGGATTCTGAGTTACTTTCTAATCCTGACTTTACTAGTCCCTAGAAATAAGTCAAATTCTTTCTGAAGGTATGTCAAATTAATGTACCAGCCTACGTCATAAAATCATGAAGAATTAATTGACAGGAATAAAAGGCACGAATGTTTAAAATCATCTTTGTGGACTTCCCTGGTGGCACAGTAGTTGGGAGTACACCTGCCAATGCAGGGGACACGAGTTCGAGCCCTGGTCCAGGAAGATCCAGCATGCCACGGAGCAACTAAGCCCATGTGCCACAACTACGGAGCCTGCACTCTGGAGCCTGCGAGCCACAACTACTGAAGCCCTCATGCCTAGAGCCCATGCTCCACAACAAGAGAAGCCACCGCAATGAGAAGCCTGTGTACCACAACAAGGATTAGCCCCTGCTCGATGCAACTAGAGAAAGCCCACGTGCAGCAATGAAGATCCAATGCAGCCAAAAATAAATAAAAGATAAATAAATTTTTTTAAAAATTAAAATCATCTTTGTAATTTATCTAAATTTGGCATACTGGACACCTCTTACTTTTTAAAATTATCCAATGCTATCTTAATATCTTAGCTTTATTTTACTAGTCAACTAGAGGTTTAAGAGAGAATTGGAAAACATTCTACAATTTTATCTGTCAACTTGTTGTATTTCTCTGGAAATGTAATGTCCGTGGATATTTTTTTTATTTGATCCCTAACCTTATTTTATCTGACTGCCAGCTGTGTGAAATACGTTGTCACCTATTCTTTTAAAAACAAGAATTCTTTTAATATTAGCTTAAATTAATCCATAATAATCAATAAACATAAAAACAGTGAAAAGGCAGATTAATTTCCTCTACATTTTTCCTTCCAAGGTTACATTGCACCGTGGAGTGGCAGGTTTTACTCATTGTGGGATACTGGGTAAGTGCAGATAAGTTATTTGCCCTCATGTTATTTTCCTTTTGTCATCTGTTCTTTATTGTTAGTATCTCTGTCAATACCTGGGCAACATTTCTAAAGTATCTAGCATGTACTAGTTTAGTAAATGTTGTATTTTGTCTGTTATAATACCTGTTTGGAATTCACCTTTAGTGTGATTATGTAAGTCACATTTCTGTTCATGGGCAACTCCTTATTTTAGTTTTATTTGTTAAAACATTTCAGGTAACGTGTGCCATTTTAGTAATTGATTTTTGTTTTTACCAGTGTATTCAAAGTTTCCATCTGTTAGTAATATTTAATTTTTAATCATTAAGGATAGATGCTATGTTATAGCATCTGTATGCCGTAGATGTGAAGAAAAATTTAACTTTCTTTTTAATACCACATTATCTAAGTTTCTTGATATTTTTTAACCTATCAGATATACTAGAGAGTATTTGTTGTGCTTTTTTTTTTATTATTTTTTTGTTGTTGTGCTTTTTAAGAGTGCTATTATAAAAATAGTAAAAAAAAAATTTAGGGCTTCCCTGGTGGCACAGTGGTTGAGAGCCCGCCTGCCGGTGCAGGGGACGTGGGTTCGTGCCCCGACCCAGGAAGATCCCACATGCCGTGGAGCCGCTAGGCCCGTGAGCCGTGGCCACTGAGCCTGCGCGTCCAGAGCCTGTGTTCCGCAACGGGAGAGGCCACAACAGTGAGAGGCCTGCGTACCACAAAAAAAAAAAAAAAAAAAAAAAAAAAAATTAGTTTTAAATTAGCTCAATAATTTTTTATCTCTAGAAATGTTTTCCTAAGGATAAGAAAATATCTCTTGGTGATAATTTACTTCTCTCCCTTGATTCTGCTATTCTGTCTTTTTTGTTACTCCCCATGTGGGCGAATAAAAAACCTACCACAATTTATTGTGCCTGCCCTTTGGTGTGATACCGAAAGGGCTCCTGCCCATGACTAATTAAAGGGCATAAGCAAATTATGTATGAATGGCTGAAGCTAACAGACACAAACTTCCAGAGATCAGCCTTTGCATCACCAGAGTTTGAGGGAAAACCCCAGTTGTAGAAGTTAGTTATTCTGATTAGGTTAAAATCCTAGGTTAAATTTTTCTTAGTCATACTTATTCTTGCTTTCAGACTTTAACTGACCACTTTGGAATTTCAGGGAAAATTTGTCCTGTCTTTTCCATTTCCCTCACCAGCCTCTGTGCCATCTCCTTGTTAAGAAAGGTATTGTGGCAATATGATATCTTATCGGATAAGGTATTTCTGCTAGTAATAAGTCCAGAAGATAGTGAAACTCGTTGATGCAAACTTAGAAAAGTACTAAGTTAAAACTGCAAAACAAATTCCTATTTGAGCAAAGATTTTTGTGTTAGAAGTCAGAGCCAACACTTTTATAACTGGCCTTAGATAATTCTGATTTTAGGAGGGGCATATTGGTTTTGGTTTTACCAGTGTGTATCACATTTATTTCCACTCTAGCTGGTTACATTAGAATATACTTTTAAGCAAGAAGAGGTAGGGATAGGAACCATATCTACAATCAGAGAAAGTTTAGTCATCTAAAAGGAACTCCTGTTTTATCATTTACTTTTAAATAATGTTAACTTTTTTTAATACCAGGTATGCAAAAATACACATTCCAATTATTGCATCAGTGTCTGAGCATCAACCTACAACTTGGGTATCTTTCTTCTTTGATCTACATATTCTTGTGTGTACCTTCCCAGCAGGCCTGTGGTTCTGCATTAAAAATATCAACGATGAAAGAGTATTTGGTAAGAGATTTTTAATAAATACTTTTATTTATTTATTTTTGTTGAGATTATCACTGCACTTTAAAGTTTTGTTTTTCTTTGCTTGACTCTATGCATATTTAAGATAAACTTTCCTCTCTTACTTTGCATAAGTGCTTAACTGAGAAAAATTCAGTGAATTTGCATTATATATACTCTAATTACTAACTTTTCATTTTGGACTAGTATATAAATTTTTCATTCAATTTATTGTTTTCTGAGAGGTTAATGTAATTATACTCTGTGGCTGAGAATTGGAAATTATAACTGCTGACAGAATAGACTTGACTTTATTTTCTCAGGGGCATCCATGATCCAAATTTCAGTGCAAAAGTACATTTTGTAATGGAATAAGAATCACCTTTAAGTAACACCCTCTTGACTGATTTGTGTAATTTCCAACTTACAAGACTTAGATATACAAACTATTTTAAAGCCAGTGTTTAGGATCTGACATTCAAAATATAAATGGACAAAATAAACAGATACCAAACACTTTCATGTAATTCAGTCATCACAAGAAGTATGCTGTGGCTGTTTTGCATTTGATAAAACCTGAAACTGAAAAAGCTTTGTAATATGCACAGGGTCACACAAGCAAATAGTTTGTGCAAGTATGGATCCTGGACCATTAGAGACACTCAAAAGTTACGGTTCCAGAGTGAAGTCAGGAGAGATAAAATAGCATCTGCATAGGTTCTAACCAAAGGATGATACCCCTTCTTTTCTGGTTTCTATACGTCAGTGGACTCTGGATAAGGCCATGTTAATATTGCATCATTCAAAAAGATTTTAGCTTAGACATATTGCCCACTCATGACTTAGCAGTCCCAATCCTAGGTATATACCCAAAAGAAGTAAGTGCATGTGTCCCATAAAGGACATGTTTACATAGCAACTTGATCCATAATAGCCCCAAATTAGAAACATACCAAAGGTTATCAGCAGTAGGATGAAGAGATTTTTATGTATTTGTACAGTAGAATGCAACACAACAATTAATAAAAGAATAGCATGGGTAATTAAAAGAAACCAGTACAAAAGAGAACATTTTTATATAATTTCATTACTATGAAGTTTAAGAATAAGGAAAACTAAATTATTGCTTTAAAAGTCCAAATAGTGATTACCTTTTTGGACTTTTAAGGTAAAAAAGGGTGGGGGGTGAGGGGAGCAGTTATTGACTGGGAAGAGGCATGAGGGATTCTCCTGAGGAGGTATACAGATGTTCTGTATTTCTATATGGGTGGTAAATACATAGGTGTGTGCATATATAAAAATCCATTGAGATAAACAATATGGTATAATAAATGTATTTTTTAGTCAGGAAAAAAAAAGTGAATTAGCTTCAAATGAGATAGGCACTCAAATGACTCATTAACTTTGTAAAGTCATATAGCCTCCAGCCAGAAATGATAGAGCCTTTCCTTGTGGTGAGCACATTATCTGGAAAGCTTTGACTATTGGAAATTATTTCCAATTTTTTTTTTTTTAAGTTTCTTGGCAATAACTTTATAAGTTCCTCCTTTGGTAATAAATTATATTTTTCTCATCCCATTCTTACTTTAAAGCAGGCTTTATGCCAGATACTGGCACAGACTTTTCATAGACTTTGATTCTATAAACTTACTGTGCTTAATAATACAATTCACCAAACATGTTTTCATCTGTCAGTTAACGTATTTTTCTAATATGTGATGCTGTTGACAAATAATGAATTGTCTCATTCCCCATAGTAGCTATAATTAAACTTGAAACATGATATGCTTCTCTAAACTGTTGATATGCAGTATTTATTTTGTCAACACTAGTTATAATTTCTAAATATGACTTTTAAATTGGTTAGCATTATTTAAAAACAATTAGGGCTTCCCTGATGGTACAGTGGTTAAGAATACGCCTGCCAGTGCAGGGGACACGGGTTTGAGCCATGGTCTAGGAAGATCCCACATGCCGTGGAGCAACTAAGCCCATGCTCCACAACTACTGAGCCCACGTGCCACAACTACTGAAGGACACGCACCTAGAGCCTGTGCTCCGCATCAAGAGAAGCCAACGCAGTGAGAAGCCTGTGCACCGCAACAAAGAGTAGCCCTGGCTCGCCACAACTAGAGAAAGCCTGCGTGCAACAACAAAGACCCAACACAGCCAAAATCAAAATAACTAAAATAAATTTTTTTTTAAAAAAGTTCCTCTTTAAGTAAATAAATAAGTAAAAACAGCCCTTTTATGAGATGTTTGTCTGTTTTTAGATTTTGTTTTAAATAGTTTCAAATAGTCAGTGAAGTTTCCAGGGACCCTTTTCTCTTCTGAAGTGTTACGAGAGAACTTGTCTTTGCAGTTGCTCTGTATGCCATCAGTGCTGTCTACTTTGCTGGCGTGATGGTGCGGCTGATGTTGACCTTGACTCCAGTCGTCTGTATGCTGTCTGCAATTGCATTCTCAAATGTTTTTGAGCATTATTTGGGGGATGACATGAAAAGGGAAAACCCACCTGTGGAGGACAGCAGTGATGAGGATGACAAGAGAAACCCAGGAAATTTGTATGATAAGGTGGGAAATCTAAAGTAAGGCCTTTAAAATTTTTACGTGTTTTATTTTTCCACCACAGTAATAAGAACTTATATATATTATGAAGGGTGATTAAACAAGAATTTAGGCAAACTATGACATTTCTAGTTGGTCTTTACTTCTTGCCTCAAATTTTGAATCCTGGTTGGTCTTTTCACTCAGAAAGCTGGTGCTCTACTAAATTACATAACATTTAGTGCTATAAATCCCTCTGAAACCATGTGCAAAGTGCTTATCCTTGAGGTCCATATTCACTGTAAACTTTTAAAATATTTGGTTGACTGAATAGTGATTCACGAGGGGAATAAGTGCCTTAAAAAAGTCTCCAGGGGGCTTCCCTGGTGGCGCAGTGGTTGAGAGTCCGCCTGCCGATGCAGGGGACACGGGTTCGTGCCCCAGTCCGGGAAGATCCCACATGCTGTGGAGCTGCTGGGCCCGTGAGCCTGTGCTCCGCAACGGGAGAGACCACAACAGTGAGAGGCCTGCGTACCGCAAAAAAAAAAGTCTCCAGTTCATTAGCACTAGGTGGCTGGCCCATATAATAATGTAATTTACTTTTAACTTCTCAGCTAACAGAGCAGGATTATATTTGGTGCAAGTGTGGAAAAGACTTAGAATCAAAGCACTTGTCTTGGATGACATAGTAAACTTTATTAACTAGATTTTTAAGTAGCAATAAGCAATGAAGAGCTTTGCAGTGTACGTATTAATTTTGAAATTTTCTTTCTTTACTATGATAGGTCCAGTATTATTCATACAGATTAGTGCTAATAAGGCACATACCTGCTTTTCTGTTTGTTGTGTTTTGTTTTGTGGTTTCTTAATAATTAGCCTTGCAATTTAGAACCTCTGACTGTTCTCTGTTCGGTGAGGTTTTTGTTTTGTTTTCAAAAATGTAATCTTGATTTTAACAAGTCTGTTGGTTTGGGGTTTGGAAATTAGAAAACTGATTCTGATAATGCAGTTTTTTCCTATACTAAAGTCCTACATGGTCTGGATTATAGCTGGATATTGCTGTTTTCACGGTGAGGAGTTCAGATTTTTTATAAGAAAAGGTAGCCAGCATGAGACCATTTGGTTATCTCCTTTGTATTTACATAAAACATAAGGACAGTTGAGTTTGAAAGCAGCTTCTTACCGGAGATTTTTTGCTCTGCAACCTGCTCCTGGATTAGGTTTAGTTCCAGGAAGCCTTCTCATTCACATTTGACTTTAGAATTCACCTTGATAATTTTTAGAAAATGTTGTATGACCCACACGAGAATTCCTGATGGTTATACATTTTCCTTCTGAAAGAATTAAATTGATAGATAACATTCTCCCAACCTTCTCCCTTTTGAGTGTCTTAATGAAAGTAAGTCAAATGATGATTTGTCTCATCAGTTTTTTTGCATTTTCAGGCAGGTAAAGTGAGGAAGCATGTAACTGAACAGGAAAAAACTGAAGAGGGCTTAGGTCCTAATATAAAAAGCATTGTTACCATGTTGATGCTGATGCTGTTGATGATGTTTGCAGTCCACTGTACCTGGGTCACAAGCAATGCCTACTCCAGCCCAAGTGTGGTCCTGGCCTCTTACAATCATGACGGGTAAGAAGACAACTTGACTACAAGAGGATTTTATACCTACCCTTTTTTCCTGTCTCAAAAGATAGAATTCAAAGATGTTTGTGAGGCTCTGCATTTGAATCTGCTTTGCTTTTCTTGTGACCTTTCCCCTGCCCGTCCTCTTTGGTAGAAGTAGGTAATAATCATTGTATTTCATGCTCTTTTCCAAAATATCTTTGCATATATAACATACACATTAGTCTTTCTCAAAGTGTTGTGCTTGGACACAGAGCATCATCATTACCAGGAAATCCTTTAGAAATGTAAATTCTTGACCCCACTTCAGTGTGTGAATGAGAAACCTGGGGGTGAGACTCAGCGATCTGTGGTTTAATAAGCCCCCCTGGTGATTCTGATGCAGCTACAGTTTAAGAACAGCTGGTTTATGTACTGCAACCCCACATTCCCACCACAGCTTCTGCTTCACTTGGGTGCTCATTAGACTTGCCCAGTATCAGGCTCCACCCCAGAACTACTAAACCAGAATTTGCTTTTTTACAAGATGGCCTGGTGGTTTGCATGCATATTAAAGTCTAAGAAGCACTAGTCTAGCTCTCCATTAATTTTTTTTTCTCCCTACCATGGAGGCTTTTAACTACCATCCTTAAAATATGAAATTACTTAGTGGCCTGGCACCTCAAGATTTTAAGTTACCATCTTCACACTTCTAAGATATCATTTAAAAGAATATTGTGATTGTTTTCAGCACCAGGAATATCTTAGATGATTTTAGAGAAGCTTACTTTTGGCTGAGGCAAAATACAGATGAACATGCCCGAGTGATGTCTTGGTGGGATTATGGCTATCAAATAGCTGGGATGGCTAATAGAACTACTTTGGTGGATAATAACACCTGGAATAACAGCCACATAGCACTGGTAAGAATTTGATCAACAAAAGAGCAAAAGTTACAAACCTTTATTCACTACTTAGCAATCAGACTTCACTTGTGATTGATTAAGTAGGAAAAATGTGCGTGAAAGTGCTCTGTGCTTGCTGAATTTTGAACATACTTCTCTACGTATTTATTCAATAAAGTGAGTTCAAGGTATGCTTATTTTGTTTTTAAGAATAGAATTTATTTGTCATTCAGAATTATAGGCTGTTTGCTGGAGAATAGGCAAAATCTGAAACTTAAAATATTATATTTGTCTTGTATTTTCCATTTCATAAGTTAAGAAAAGTATTTGCATATATGTAAAACAAACGCACTGTGTTTTATGGGCATGCAAATTATGTTCGCTCTAGCTATTAAATAACTAATATACGTTAATTAAAGTAATCACCTCTCTGTTCTTTAAAGGTTCTAAATAGATAACTGGGCATTAGCCAAATGAGTTCTCTTTGTATTAGTGTTGTAACTAATCATTAGATGTTTAGTAAACTGAAGAGAAGAATATATTTGTGCTAGCTAGATGGATGGTCATCCTCGTCCTTTTAAGCTTGCCTGCTTTCATATTAAAATGTTAATTTCATGAGACCTAATTATTAGCAAAATATTAGAGCATTATTTCTGATTTTGACATTTCTGCTATAATTGGTTGTAGTAAGTGAGGTGCTTATAAATCTCAGTAAATCTGTTGAATTCATAGCAAATCATTTTTATAAAAAGAATTCCATGTAAATCAAACTCGAGTGCATTCCATCTTAAAGTGAAAATGTGCGTCCATTTTTATTTTTAGTGTATTTTGGGACTAAGTACACACATTCTCATTTTTTATTTTGTAGGTGGGAAAAGCCATGTCTTCAAATGAAACAGCAGCCTATAAAATCATGAGGAGTCTGGATGTAGATTATGTTTTGGTTATTTTTGGAGGGGTTATTGGGTATTCTGGTGATGATATCAACAAATTTCTCTGGATGGTTAGGATAGCTGAAGGGGAACATCCAAAAGACATTCGGGTAAGAAACTAGGTCGTTCTTAGTGTGTGAAAGATAGCTCCCAGTAGCCCTCTTACCTTGTTAATTGCATTGTGTTTGTTTTCATTATCCTATCCCCCAAATTTAGTTCTTCAGTCTGACTTTACTGTTTATTAAAGATACCATAAGCATTTTCCCAGGTTTAAAACTTTGGAAACTCATACCTGGTACTTCCATTCTCCCCTACAAAGCAATCCCTTGTCAAAATTCTTGCCTTTACTCCTTACAGCCTGTCACTTCTGCCCTTTCCTTCCATTTTCATTGCTTCCACTCTGGCATTGACCCCTATGCTCATAAACCTGAAATAGGACAGTAGCCTTGAACTTGCTTGCTATCTTTGCCTTAGTCTTGTTCCCTCTCCCAGTCTAACATGACATTGATCATGTAACTTTCCAGCTTTTTTTTTTAAGCCTTCATTAGTTTAAGGAAAGGGGCCTTGAAACCAGACAGACATGAGTTGGAACTAAACCCTGCCACTGTCAGCTTGGTGCTATGGGCAAGTTGTTTTTCAGCCAGTCAGCATTATATGCTTCGAGCACTAGGTCTTGTTCTAGGTTCTAGTGTTATAATGGTGATTACGGCTGTTTCAGTTGATCACTAACAGATGCCAGGAATAATTCATTTGTACTGCTGTTATGAGAATTTATAGTAACATCGATGAAGCCTCAGCCTAGTGGCTGGTTTGAAATAATCATAATGATGATTGAAATAATGAAGCAGTGGTATGAAATCCAAACGCTTTAGCTCAGAATGCACAACCCCTTAATACTTCACTTTCCTTTGCTGGCCTCTTGTCCTTCTATCACCTTTTTCCACTCTGTCGATCTACTCTAGCCCATGAAACTTGCCTCGTGGTTTCTTTCCTTGGCTCATCTGACACACGTGTTTATACTGTTTTCTTCTTGGAGTACCTTCCCTACCACAGATTAGTCATCTCTCCAGAAGCCCTTCTCTGGTGCATTATCAGATCACATCCAGCCTGGTTTGTAGGTAGATTCTGTTGTATCTCTCCCACTCAGCTGTGAGCTCAGAGAGGTTGGGCACCCAGCACTGTGGTTTACGTGGTGAAGGCACAAAAGATGAGAGTAAGATTCACTGCTGATCCAGAATAAACGAACCTTTTGGGAAAATGTATGAATGTGTTTTATGTGACAGGGATGAAGTCGAGTAAAGCCCCAGATTTCCTGTTTAAATGTAAATGCTGTGACATTTCCCCTTAACTACGATTAATAAACAGTATTACCTTGTGTTAAATTGGTCTTAATTTAATCCTCCTAGTATATAATTTTCATTTGTGCATTTGCTTTAGCAGTGTTAAAACTGACGTGGTAGATCCAGATATATGCTTTGAACCATTTATATAGAGAAAAATCCTAAATTCCTATGCTTTGTGAATAGGTAATTTACACATTCACATGGTTCAAAAAATAAAATATAAAGGGATATACAGTAAAAGTTTACACCCCCCACCCCAAGAAAAGGAAAAGAAAAAAGTCCATGGTAGTCTCTTACTATTTTCTTATGATTCTTATTGAAGCAGATAACTAGTAGCAAAATATACACCTTGTTCTTGCATTTTTTTACTTCACAATATATTATGGGGATCTTATGGGGATGCTTCTTCATTCCTTTTTTTTTATATCTGCATGGTGTCTTCCATTGTGTGTGTGCACCATGATTTATTTAACCTGTCCCTGTTAATGGACATTTAGGTTGATTCCAGTTTTTTAATCTCATAAACAGTGGTGTGATAAATAACTTACTACACTCATCATTTTGCCCACTTATAAGTATCTCTGTAGGATAAATTCCTAGATGAGGAATTTCTATCGATGGTGTCAGATTAGCCCTCTTAGAGGTTAATTCATAAATTTGACGAACTCCCAATAAAAATTCCTACAGAAGTTTTCTAAACATTCCCCTCTCAACTAAAGAACTGATTTTAAAAGTTCATATGGAAAAATAAAGAACAAATTTAGTTGGCCTACCTGATACTAAATCATGGTATTGGTACCTTTTTTTTTCCTTAAATTATTGAGGTTTTATTATAACATGGTTTAAAATCTGGTAGAATTAATTAATAATCGCCCTCCCTCACTCTAACAGACTATTGTTCTTTTTCTCTGTGTTTTGGATACTCTTGTTTATTTCCTATAAATGATTTCTATACTGAGCTTTAAAAAACACCCATGATAGTTTTGTGGGTTTTTTAAGAGATGACATTAAATTTATAAGTTCATCTTCTGATACTATGTTTTTTTTGAGATGTAACTAAATATGGCTTTATGAAGATACCTCAAAAGTTAGTTCTTATGGGGAAATGAAAAGGGGAACCTGTAGCTTTGAATTGGTTATATTAAACCGACACAAACTTCTGGATTCTTTCCTGTAGGAAAGTGACTATTTCACCCCACAAGGAGAATTCCGTGTAGACAAAGCAGGATCCCCTACTTTGTTGAATTGCCTTATGTATAAAATGTCATACTACAGATTTGGAGAAATGCAGGTTAGTTACATCAATTTTTCTATAATCTTTATTCAGAGGACTATTAAGTAGCCTTGTTTGACTCTAGAAAACAGGATAATGATGTTTTCGTTGCGCTGTAAAGAAAAATGTGCTCATCTAAAGATTCTTTTCTCTATTAAATTTAATTTCTGAAACTTGTATGTAAAAAACGAGGAAATATTTTTTAGATCGACGATTTCCTTCCAAAATTGTTAATTAACATAGGCTCAAATCCATTCTTTGCTTGCCATCTCACTTTTTGACTTCATGCTTTTGGAAGACCAGGGAGAGGCCTTCCAGCTGGGAAGCAGTGTGATCTTAAGTAGTTTAACTTCACTGCCTAGTGGGGGAAAGCCTGAAATTAAAGAGATGAATTATTTAATCACTTCATATATTCACTGTTTCCCTGTTCTCCATTACCCCAGAGAGCTAGGACTCTCTGGGTCAGAGTTTTCCCAGAAAATTGGAATGATATGGTACAAAAGATTAAGAGTCGACAAAGATGAGTGAATGGGCCAAGAGGCATCGTGGCAAAAAGAACAGATAACGGACTGTCACAACACCTGGGTTCCAGATCTGGCTCTGTCAGGTCATGTAACCCTTGGACAAGTCACATTCTCTCTGGACTTGTGTTTTTCCTTGTCTGTGTATAATGGGGGTTGGACTGATGGCTTCTGTGATTCTTCATAGCTCTCAGGTTGCATGACTGTCATATCAAGTTACACCTTCATACTGAGGTTACATCAGTGGCAGAGGAAAAATTGCTTGTTTAATTTTATACAAATACCAGGGATCAAGATAATGTTTCAGCATTATTCGCTTGGAATTACTCTACAGGTGGCTCTGAAAAAAAAAAACAGACAAAAATTTTACTACCAGATTTAGGTTTTTGTTTGTGTTTTCTTTGAAGGCCACTGCCTGGTCTCTAAACTCATGCTAAGAAAGAAGCAACTTAAGCCATAATAATTAGCTACCTCAGAAAATGGGTGAAAGATTAGTTTCTCTGTTCACTATTGAGAGCATTGAAAGACTTCTTTTTTCTGTCACGTTTATCAAGAGCTCCAAGCCGTGCCTGTAGCATGCATTCATTTTGA